TACGGATGGATAACAAACCTTCAGAATCGTTTGAAATAAGAACAGCACAAATTAGCACAGACTTTTACTGACAGTGTTGTCTAGTCAGAAAAGGTAAGGGTCTTAAACACCTTCTGATTCTTGTACGCTCTGCAGAGGACTTCGAAAATAGCATACGAAGAATCCTTTGCCAAGTCGATGTACGGCTATGGACTTGTAAAATTGTTATCTACGGTGCCTTGTCTTGAAAAAGATAAGATATTTCTTACATGACAATTCTTCTTCGTCAAAATAATAGCACCAAGTTGAAGTCGAAAATAATCTCAGTTACAGAGTACAAAATGGAACAGGAGCAGAGTCCCTAGAGTGCAGAGACTCTAGAAAGACCCGTGAGGGACTGACTTGGCTGACCTGAAAATCGCCTATATTTATGTGTGCGTTTAGAGCGATAAATGGGGATTTCCAGGTCGATTAGCCAATAGGAAGGATTCGAGGGTGGACGATGCGCATCGGAGTGCGCACTAGTCCACAGACTATTGCACTAGATGACAACAGTAAATGGACCCGAATTACGAGGATCGCCGGATGATATTGACATTTTGGGAAAGTCACCAATGGAAAAAAAATTCAATAACTTAGAGACGGAGACAAAAATTCGGTGAAAAGGTCAATGAAGAGGAAACCAAATATAATATGCATTAACAGACAAAAGAGATGAGATAGAATAGGGTTCAATGTAACAATAGACCCATATAACCTCGAAAGAGTGGAGAGTTTTAAATATCTCCGAGCGACAGTCACAGCAGGTAACGATATCACGAAAGAAATGAAAGGGAGAATTCGGACAGGAAACAGATGTATGTATAGCCTCCACAACACTATTAAATCCAAGAGCCTACATCAAAAATCAGGATATATAAAACAGTGATTATATATATGCTCATATATTGGTGCGAGACGTGAAAGCTAATAAAAGCAATGAAAAGAAAACAAGATGTTCTGAGAGAAAAATACTCAAAATCTTTGGACCTCACCATGACCCGAAAACTAGACGTCAACATATGTATAGAGCTAGCGATATAGACCGAACGTCTAAGATAGGCCGGTCGTACCGATAGACTCTCTAATAACCGCCTTACCAAGTTAATCTGGGATATGGCCCGACAGGGGGAAAGCCCTTAGGACGTAAACGAATGTAATGGAGAGATAACATAATATGGTCAGATTTAAGAACAATGGGGCTACCCACTGACCCAACTATCATGGCCGATCGTTCGAGATGGAAGCGAGTTGCGCAGTCGGATAAGACCAGCTGCAGGTTGTAGTTTTACGAGAAGAAGAAGATAATGAATGATAAAGATAGTCGCCCTCAGGTATAAACATAAACTTAATGCCCTTGGTACATAAATCACTATAATATGTAAATAAACAACGTAAAATGCGGATCAGTTGCTTTAATTTTCCTATGTTCTCTCGTAAACGACCACTCCTCTTTAGCGACCAGCTTTTGATTCTCCGAGAGTGGTCGCTATTGGAAGTTTTTACTATATAAAATATAACGATAAAGATAAGGGTTTCCTTTGATACTTTTCTGACCGTAACGTTTATTTTGGTTTTTCTGAGATTGGACCCGTTATTTCAAATTTATTGTCTAATGTGTTAAGACTTTGCAAAACATTACTTCCAACAATTATGTCGGATCCTTTGATATTCTGTGATATTGGTCATGATCTCTAATTCAATCCCTCACTTTTAGAATTTTCCTTCCACAGATCTTTTTTTGCTTTCTATGATAGTGGAAAGAAATACCAATTCCTATTATATTTTGATTTTTTTCTTAAAATAATTTTCACTTTTTTAAAAAACCTTGTTTAAAGACAAGCTATAATTTCTCCTTATATTTTATCATTTCCGACTAACATGATATTATTACGTTATTAACATTACTGTATAACATAATTTTGAAGTGAATACCTCTTATCGCTGGGTATGATGTTTCATATCCTATTCGATATCCTATTTCAAATCCTATTTAACGTGACTAGAAAAATCAAGACGGTGTAGCAACCCTGCGGTATACCGTAATATACATAATAAACATGGATACACTTATTATAATTTTATATATTTTTTTTTCATAACTCGAGAATGACTGGATCGATTTGACTAATTTTTATTTTAAAATATTTGTATGAAATAAATAATCAAATAAAATTAAATAAACTTAAATAAAATTATAAAAAATTAAAAGTCATAAAAAATTGTAAAGTTTCAAAAAAGTATGAAAAATTACAAAAAAAATTATAAAAAATCATAAAAAATTATAAACAATTGTAAAAGATTTTAAAAAATTGTAAAAATTAAATAAAATTAGAAAAAACTATAAAAAATTATAAAAATTTAATAAAACTAATATAAACAAAAGTTTATTTAGAAATTGTATAGTCGTTTATAGGTAAGTATTTACAAGTGGAAAGTATTTAATGAAAATTTATTAATATACCCCCCCCCCATTACTCATGATTCTTTTTAGAATATAATGATAGTCAAAATGAAATAATTAGCATAACTAAAAGATAATACGGAAAGTGTATAAATTCTATAGGTATTATATTTAAACAAATTTTGAAAATTACTAAAATCATTTAGTTACATAACTTTTAAAGAAAAATATTAAGATTTTTTAAATTTTCAAGAACTGAAATGATCTGTTTCTCCAGATTTACTAGAGATCCAAAGGGTCTGGTCGTTTTAATCTTCTTACGTGTGAAATGTTGAGCAGATCCGTGGCCAGCGGATTTGGATGGCAGGATAGTCTGGTCTTGTATACAAAGTTTACAGCAGATAGTGTTTTGCTAAATGTTGGTAACTGGAAATCTAGGTGTAATATGTGGAGTAAATGTTGGTATTACTCGCTGTATCCCAGATTTGTGCTGCATATTGCCATACTGGTTTTAAAATACATTTATATATCAGAAGTTTGTTCTCCAGGCTAAGATTTAATTTTCGACTCATGTACCAATACATTTTCCTGTAGATTAAGCTGAGTTGAAGGCGTTTCCTCATAACCCAATTAGGTACAGTGAAATAACAAGTTTTTATTCTAGTGTTTTCTAAATCTTTTCTTGATTTTTTTTAGTTTTGTAATACACATAATATCAGTAATGTTTATCTGTATTAAACTTTGTTAAGTTGAAGTTTAAATTAATTGTTATATCATTTATATCTATATTATGTCTTGCCTGGTTGGCTTCCCACTACGTTATTGTACATAAATTATAAATATTGCTTATTGTTTGTAATGAGACGGATTGCAATAAACATTGGATGTTAAATAAAAAAAAATGAACTTAAATGTGTAATGTTACTATAAAAATTATAAAAAATATTTATAAATTTATATTTATAAAATATTTATATTTTTATTATATTTATATTTATTTATATAAATAATTATAAAAACATAAATTTCTTTAACCTACATATAGTAATAACACGCTATAAGAAGTATTCACTACCCTCGGCACTCCCCAAGTGACGCACTCTTTTTTTTATTTGATTTTAGTATTCTGTAGGTACATTCCTTTAGGATTGTTAGTACCAGTTGTCTGTATCTCAATAAGATCACAAATCCTAACGTGGTTTAGGATCCTGCCTTGTCTAACCCGATTAGATCTCCAGGACATACAAACTTTTCTTTCTTTTGATCATAGTTCTAATATTTTCTCTTTTATTGACACTTTCTGGTAGCTAAATGACATTACGTTTCTTGAAGGGAGGGTTTTTTTTAGCTGCAAACACTAAACGGTATTCAATGAATATAGTCGTTTTAAAAGGTGCAGGGTACATTTAAATCGTATGATCCATACACCTGTGTTTAAATTTTGCATAACTGTGTATGAGTTATTTGACGAGATGTACAATTAGTTGTAGAAATTCAAAATTGTTTGAAATTCATTGTTCAGCGAGTGAAACTCTGCTTTGGTGATATAGCTTCTTTCGAGATCGGTCATCTTATTGTATCAGCGATATTACTGTAGCTAATAATTCACCCAACGTAAATTCTTTGAGAAGATTTGCAAAGGCCAAAAAGATATCTTTTATGTAATATTATTTCACCCATATAATTGTTTTCTCTTTTTTATCATCGACATTCGATTGAATTATTATTATAACTAAACACGCTGGACATGTTTCCAAACTATATTTTATATTTTTAATAAAGAGTTTGTTTATCCCCTTCATCCATGTCAGCCTCTTAGTGAGGCTTTACTTCAACAGATACTTGAACATTCTAGCCGTATCGGTTATTCTAGCTAGCTATCTCATTTTACGCTTCTTACCGAGTTTCATTACTGTTTCTCCTCCACTTATGTTTCACTATAAGCTTAGGGTTGGATGGTCACACCTGAGTGAAATGAGTGTCGCCTGGTACATGGAGTTGGGCCGTCCTTAGCTTGTCCATTGGATCGTGCTCAGAATTAGTGGCCTTGACCGAGCACAAAGCACCCCTCCACCATGAAAAGGTTTCATCGGCTCTCGAGTTTCCGAGCACATTGTGCGCGACAGAAAGAAACTGAGTTCTCGAAAAAGTACATATTAGATGGGTGGACCAGTTTGCATTACAGTTTGTTGTGAAACGTAATTTTTCACAATTTTATGACAGGTATAATTACTCTACAACTCTCAGGACTTTATAATGAATATTTGTTTATAAGTTTATTATACTCTGGCAATTATTTGGATTTCCTTTCCATTAGACAATACAATTTTTGAATTGAATTCTAAGATTAATATAATTAAGTCTCACAAATATATTTTTTATTTACCACGATTATGTTTTACCATTACTTTTGGGAGTTTTTGACAGTGTATTTCACCAACAGTATATTTTTGACAGAATATACATTTTGCAATGTGTATTCAATTTTCCTTTATCTGCTGGAGGTCGCTATACTCAAAATAAGTGAAAGAAATCATAATTTAATGACAATATTTTATATAAGTTCTTTTTGTTTTAGGTGGTTCATCTGGTGGTTCGGAACACTTGAAAGACACGGCAGCTGGTCAGAGCAGCGCTTCTGACAGCGACATCACTTCGTTGGGTCCCCGTTCCGCCGCAGGACCGAAGACGAGCGGGAACGGCAACGGCAGCTCCAACGGTTCCGAGCAGAGCAGTGGAACGCAAGTAGCGACCAATCCACAGTCTAAAGACATTGCCGGTAGTAGACAATCTTTTAAGATTGCCATGGGCAATCCATGCGAGATGTTTGTTGATGTTATGTAGAATGTGATTGATTTTTGTATTTGTATTGAGTAGATGCTAAAAAATGTGTTCAAAATCAACTTTTGGGCGCGAGCGATGGAGTTGTTCACCAAACATTACTTTGTACAAAGTGAAACTATAAGGAAGTTGTGAACAATTTCAGATTTTTAATATTTTATATTATGAATTTGTTTTAAAAACAATAATTTTAATATTTTTACAAAACATTGAAGACGAGGTTTGTTTTGATACTTGGTATATTTAAGTTTTTCCAAAATGTGTCCATGTAGTGTGAAAAACATGCATTATAAAAATGAATTGCTATTTTGTGTACGTGAATATGTTTTATACGATTGAACATATATTTTAAGAATACAAGATAGTATGCTGGAATACTAACTAAAGTTATGTGATTTTTTCATTTACGTCGATAAGGTACCGAGATTTTATGATAATCATCTTTTTCCAAATATTTTGTAGCGTGCTCCTCTAGTTTCTTATAAAGTCCTTTATCGTTTTCTGGATAAGTAATACTGTAATGTATACAGTCTATAGTGACTTTTTCTATCCTTTTTTGGAAATAAACCTTAGTAAGCAAATTTACAGAATGGGACCTGGAAATGGACTGGAATGGAAGAAAAAAAAGGACGATCTCAAAGATCGTTTTAAGAAAGAAGAGACCTACAATATAGAGATTTTTTAGATAGGAAGAGCTGGATACAACGATATATAGATGATATACAATGAAAGCTTGAAGAAATCATCTTTACATTATTCCAGCATGTTTCTTAAATCTCCACTTCATATGATCTGAGTTCTACCTCTTTCTCTTTTGTTTTCTTAAGTTTTAACACCTGCTTTGTCACGTCTCCTACAATATTAAGTTGTATACAACATTTATCTTTCTATTGATTTTTGCGATGTTATCAATATTTAACCTATTTAAGTACCCAGATTATTTTATGTTATTACTAAGCATACAAATTGCGACATTTCTCTCCATTGCCCTTTCCGCAACTTGTAGTTTTACTCACTGTTGTTCTTGTGAGTGTTGAGGTTTCTGCGCCGTTAGGTCATCAATGGTATTTCTGGGATATCCTCTGAACCCACATTCTTGACTTTTCTCAACTTGGTGCCGTCTTTCTTACCCCTTTCTCTATATAATTCTGTGTAAAATTCTTCAACTACCCTAATTATCTTATCTTTATCTGTTGCCACTTTTCCATGTCGATCTGCGAGCTTAACAATATTCTTCTTACTAAATCGTGTCTAAATAAGTCTTTTTGTCTCTTGACTGATTTTTTCCTCCTTATCTCTCCTAGGATTTGTATTGCACTTTTACTCTGCGCTCTTAATAGCTTTTATTAAGATATCATTTAAGGTTTCGACATCCATAACGTCTATATTTGTTGTCTGTAGACATCTCAGAATTTCCTCACAAATTAATCATATGCCTTATACATATTTCAACGTGATGAGATAAAAAAGGGAGAAACAACATTTTTTTAGACTTATTATGGTTGTTTTTTTTTATGAGTGTTTCTTTTTAAGAAATTTTACTGATTGTACCAATTTATTTATATCTTATGACTCAAATTTATAACCTTTTCTGTCAGGCCTCGGTGTTTCTAAAACACCTATTCTAAAATATAATAATATTGTAGCAGTGCTACACTAAGTCGTTTCTTTACAAGGTGTAGTGCTACACAATTCTGTTCCATTGAAAAGTGTAGCAAAAAAAGTTTAACCTAGTGTCGATAAATCTGCACCTACCTTATAAATCTTTTTAGTTTAATTTAAATTTAAAAACAATTACTAAACAGCTTTTAGTAATTTTTAAAACCAAAGTACCTACAAATTTTAATATGTTTCTGTAGTTGGTATAACAGATTAATTTTTATATCACTGTTAATGGTACGTGTTTCATTTGTTTTCACAGCTGTTTGACAAATTCTATGTCTACAGTGACTATCAGATGCTATTATTAGTGATTTCTTCGTTAACCTAAATAAAACTGAAGTTAGTGGCAATAACCTTCAAATATGGAGCAAAAGCTTTTTGCAAGAATATTTACTTTACAGAATAAGCCAATATGCCAGACTTTACAAAGAGGTAGTGGATATATAAAAAAGTAGTGTAACTGCTATGAAGTTAAGAAAATCCAATGTGACATTTAGTCTCTTTAGAGTAGATTAAGTCGTTTAAAAACTTTAATATTGCCGCAATAGGCTACTGGAGGATATAATGAGACGTCTAGACTTAAGCTAGGCTTTGGCATCATTATTATCTTTCCAATTTTATGTGCTCTAGTCCAGTAATTACATCTTATTTCATTTTATTTCGTTGAAACCAAATTTCACTTCTCTTTGTACTTTTGTTGCTTTGCAGCTATACAATCCAATTGTATTAACTACAAAGGAATGTAGATAATACTTTTATTCATAATAATATACCAAAATTTCGACACCCCATACAATACGAGGTTGTAAGTTCGAATCCGGACTAGTCCCTAAAAGCCTTTTCAACTGTCCGAAATATCAAAAAAATAGCTTCTCGCGGTTTTCAGATTTACTAATTGCTATGATATTTTTGCAAAAAAGTTACTTGAAACAGGTTTATTTTACTTAGGTTTTCAGCTTACCACTTGTATTCCGGTTTTAACTAATTAAAAACGAGTATTTTTTAGGCAGCTATATTTTTTAAATACTATTAAATTGTTTTATGTCAATACTTACATGTAAAGATTGCAAAATCCGTTGAAAAGAAGAGTTAACCTCAAAGGATCTTTTACTTAAAAAAAAAACACCTCTTTTGTGCTTAAGTTAGTCTAAATACTTTTCTGTCATTTGGGTATTTTTGATAATTGCAGGTGTTGTTACTTTAAGAGTTTGCATCACTAACGGTGCTATTTCGCTAAAAAACACATTGATTATGAGAAAAAAAAATGTTCAGTAGGACATTTGCTCATTTTAGGATAATATCCATGTTTCAACAACCATAGTTTGCTCGGGTTTCGCCAATAGCATCGCATTTTACCAGTTTTTATTTATAGTTTATTCGACATTTTTTTTTTTTAAATAAAAATTGTGAGTTTGTATCTTAATTATTTCTTTTTGAATATTGTTCCGAAGCTATCTTTTTGTGGCATCTTAAATTAATTACTATTTAAATGGGATTAAGCCACAATTAAAGGTAAAAGTACGTTTATTGATACAAACAGTAAATTTGTTTAATTTACTGTTTGTATTTTGAGAACGATTCCCGAAGTGGAAATTGAAACGTCAATAAACGTACTTTTACCTTTTATTGTGGGTTATTCTTAGTTAAATAGTAATTATTTATTGTGTAAATCCCCAGATTTAAAATTAATTAAATTTAAGATTAAAAAATCATCATCGTTCAGCCTTAGTTGAGCCTCGACCCTTCCTAATCTGTTTACCAGTCGTTCTTGTTCATGGCCAACCACTGACATTTTCTGGTCCGAGGGAAAGATAAAAAAGCCGATTTTTATTCCGATAGAAATAACTAAAACCGCGATCGGTGCCAACTTCGATCACAGTGATGTGATGGATGTCATTTTAAAGTTCCGCTAGTTTTGTCCTTGCTTTTTCTATCATCATATCGGTCATCCTGACTTATCGTTCAGCGACGTATCTCGGTACGTTGACTGATTCTCTTAGGCTGCTACGGGGAACACATCACCATGCGAGAGATGCGTACGTTAATATCGGTATGATGCTGTGTATTAATTTTATCTTTATTTTCGTTCTTAATTTGCTTTTTCTACTTGAGAGTCCTCTTATTGACCTTTTTGCCACATTTGCTTTTTGTAGTGCGGCGTTTACATGTTTTTGGAAAGTTTAGTCCTTTATCCATTAGGACTCACAGGTATTAAGCTTAAATTTTCCATTCGATGGGATTGTTTTGCACTGTAAGTTGTTCCTCTGGCTGTTGTTGTCTTTTCTTAAAGAGCACCGCTTGCGTTTTCTCAGAGTTTATGGTGATTTTCCATTGTATGCTCCATTTTTCAATATTGTCTAACGCTGTTTGCAGGTTGTTTACTGCTATGTCTACATTTCTATGTTTAGAGTACAGTTCCAGGTGTTCTTGAAATATCTGCAGTGTATAGTGTATACAGTAGTGGTGACAGGACCGCTCTCTGTGTTACTTAAGCCTCCTGGGTTCCTATTTCGGACACGCCTTTTTCTATTCGAACTCTGAAGCTTCGGTTGCCTAAGTATGAAGAGATCATCAGTCTCGTTGTTGCTCCACCGTGTTGCTTTCGTGAAAACGATTTTATAACATATATATTATGAGGGCATCAATTTACCAGAGAAATACAATTCCACTAGATTTTTTGACAATACCGCAATACGACTGACGATTTACTGCGCTTAATTACCTTGGCGGCTATATATATTTGTGGTTATGAATACTCAAGGACTTGCAAAATCATCGGTATACTAGATTATATTTGTTTAACTCGAATTGTCTTGTAAGCTGCTTAATATCCTAGTTCTACAAAGCAGTGAAGATGGTATTTGGTTACCTGAAGGTTTTAGTCAACAAAAATGAGTCAAACAAACTTAAAATGTTCTTTCGTTGTATTCTTCTGAATTTTAACTTTGTAAACTGCTCTATTAAACTACGATGTTCTTTTTGATTTGCCAAAGAATGTGACAGTGGCAGTTAGTATTTTTCACGGATTTTCATCTTTCTTGTAAGTTATTACATTAAACAAATAAAATGTGCAATAATCTATTGCCCAATTCGAGTGGCACTTCAAATTATATTTAAAAATGATTAAAAAATACAATTTCATAAGGCAGCTGATATGATTTTTAGTTTTTCATAAATTTTGACATAATATTTTCAAAACATTATTAACCTGAGTTACAATTTGTTTCCGTTGCCACAGCCAACTTGTGTATTTATTAAAGAGATTTTTAAAGAAAACATTGACAAGTATTGTCTTAACTTTTGTAAAAAAAGTAATACAAATAATTTATTTTCGTAATTGT